CCGGATTTCCAACTCTCAAGCTCAATATCACATGCTCTAACTTCACAAGCTTCTGTGGCAGTTTTCTTCGGCACCAACATCATAGTGGTTTCGGTTGTGCCGCCAAATTTATGGCCAAGCACAGAATACTGTGCCGACAGGACGTGGCTAATGCACAAGCATAATTTCGTTTTCTCAATGAACATCATGGCAAGGTCCTTCTGATACCTGACATTATGGGTCAACTCGCAGTCTCCTAGAACCTGAAGAACTTCGGTAGAAAAGGGGGCGATATCAAAATCATCAATCGTCAGCAAAGGCATGTCGCAATCTTCGTCCTTTATTCTAGTAGGCCTTCTCATCCCCAGAGCAATGAGTCTATCGCGGGTATAGGTGCTCCACCATATTCTCTTCCAAAGCTTCTGTCGTTTTGCATCCATGTTTGAAGTTGACGGGTCTCTGTGGAGGCCAATGGTATGAGCAAGAGAAAGCCCAACGCCCATCCAGTGCCATGTATCCTTTTGATCATCCGGCATTTCATACCAATGCGTCATGAGAAGTATCGACTGGACAAGAGATATCCGGTCGGACTCGTAATCAAAGTCATATAGAAGCTATGTCGAATCAGTAATTGATTTCTCTAGTTACCCGTGAAATTATTTTATACATACTCTTGCTTTTTGAAAGAAAGCTTTGCGAGCAGCCTTCCGCGACTCGAACCCAGCCGCCTGTAGATGCTTGATATCAACGAACGCAGTTCCGGCAAACATAACTGCCTGGAATAACAAAAGACTCAATCTCCTTGATGCATCATTTCGCATGATTACACGTAGAAAATCGTCCAGGTCGAGTAGAGGCATATACGTATGCACGTATTGGATGTAACTCTTAAGCAGCTCGTTCCTAAGAGAATCACTGGGTATAGTCAAGGCCCCCTTTCGTTCCAGGTAGTCGATGTCTTCTGTCAAGAATTTACATGGAAGAGGCTGGATATAATCTGGCAGGCTGTTCCTGGGGGAAGGTCGGGGAGGTGGGGAGCGCATCTGTCCAAACCCGGTAGACATCAAGGGCGTAGCTGTGACCTTCGGTGGTATGGTGTAGAGAAATGGAGAATTGATAGTTGTGCTGCTCGATAGCCGCCTCCTCCTTTCCTCATCTTGCATACGCTGTCTCTTCTGGGTTTGATCTTAACAGAGTTCATTAGTAACAGCCACACAAGGGAAAAAGGAGCCCAAGGGGGGTATCTCACATATCATATGAGGCACATGCTGTTCGTTCTCTGGGTATCTTCCAGGTGATACCGAGGGCCATGAATCAGAGAGAGACGGGAATAGCCTGTTAGAATCAGACTTGTTGCCGAATATAGACGAATGATCCGGCGACGAATCCTTCGGTGCTTCCACCGCAAGCTCGACATGATGTTTCCTATACAATCCTTTTAGCTGGTGTTCCATTCATGAAGGGTTTCGGTCTACTGGTGGTGAAGTCCAGCGGCTACTGACTTTTTGCGTTTACTCTCTGCAACGACACACTCGACATCATCTAGACGGCAATTGGTACACGGAGAGCCATTCTCAACAACATCACAACGAACTTTGCGAGCCCGGCAGCAGCAGCAAGCCTTTGATGCTCTTCTCTTGACTGGGCGGGCCGAGTTCTGTAAACTGGCTGCATTGGACTTGCGTTTATTCTTAGACAAACTGTTGTCTAGAGATTCGGGAGACGAGACCATGACGAAGAACGGTGTCCCGATGTGTTATTGCATGAACTTCGGCGGGACGGTGACAATGATGGTTACAGGTGCAGAAACATGAGCAGAATAAGAAGCAGCAAAAGCAGACGTGTACTCCGTATAAGTATACGAGTGTATATGACAAAAGGGCGTGGTCGGTATCAACAACTTGCTTGGAAGGAAGAAAAATGTCAAGAACAGAACAAGCGTGGGGTATGGGTGGGATGGAGCTTTCTAATATATGGAGGCCTCGAACTTCAAGACATCGTCATAGCCCTTAGGTTTCTCGGACTTATACACAGGCAAAAGGGGGGACGGCATTATTGGCCAGTAATGGGGCGAGACCGTACTTATACTTCTTCCCCAGACCCCCTGTAACTATAGAACAATTCGAGTTTGGGGAAATAATCTTCTTGGACAGTGGGGAAGGTTGTTTTTCTTTAGTGGAGATTCGAACGCTTCAGAAAAGACGGGTTCACCCCCCGGCGAATGTCGAGTGCAGGATATGTCCTCAATGTTTCTGGGGATGGGCCTTAGTTATGTACAGACAGAAGTGTTGCAGACCAGCCTTTGACGTTCCTGGATCGAGCTTAGGGATAGCAATGCTGGTGTTGCTGCTGGGGTTGTTGTTTTTCTTTTCTTTCGAGGTTTTTGTCACACGGCATCTTCCACCCGGCCGGGCGAGTGCAAACTATCGGCCAAGCCATCTTCGAAAGTTGAAAATGCGTACGAGTACCGTAGTAATTATGGAGTACTCCGTTTCGATGGATCTATACTGCCGAGATCCCGCAATTGGGAATCTGGAATCTGTCAAGACAAAGCTACCTTGTGTTTGAATTCAATCCCAGATTGTTATTGGGACAGGTACTGCGCCGAACCCAAACCATGAATCATAATTCTGAGTTGCCCCTTAAGGCTGTAAAAAGGGCCAACTAAGTAACTAGTTGGAGACCCCCTCCCCCCTAGAAGTTGGAGATAGTCGATGGTGGCTGCGTAAGTGACGACATGCAGGTTAACAGTGCCCCCCTCCCCATGGTGCATTAAAAATGCTCATGGATCGGACATGAAAAAAAAATGTCAAGTGGTCACAGGCAAGCTTGACGTGGAGCTGCATGCCACCCTGTACGACCAAGCTCCACCCCTGTAGATGTGCAGCACGCCTCGTGGAGTTAGTTTCTAGCACCATATCAGGGCTGGCGAAGGGGGGTGAGGAGCCAAAACGCTTCTAGCAGAAAAGGCGGAGAGGGACCCCGATCGCCCAGTCCCAGTTCTGTCTGGCTCGTGAGAAGTCGGTCAGGTTTGAGAGGCTCGGAAAGAAGGCCGTTGAGAGTGAGTGGCGGCCCCTTCTGTCTGCCACCAGGTCAGGAGTGCCATCATGACGGCGAAACCTCCGGCCGAGCCTCTGCCTGTGATTGGTGGCCAAACGCAAAATGGCATTGCTTACTCCGTACGTAGGCTTTCCGCAATACGAATGTGTTCGGTCTCTGTCAAGCTCTTGTTTCAACCCTTGCTCGGATCACGGCACCGTTCAGCCAGGGAGTCACAAAAGCTCAATAAAATAGTGATCCTGCTCCTTTCTTGTGTGCCGGCCACCAACGACCATCATCAACCATCCTGGCTGACGACGCGAGTGCTTAAAGTCTCGTCTATCGAAGCTGAACTGTCTTATAGTCATCTCGTAGGATGATAACTAGTTGATGCTGTGCTAGGTGACCATCCTCAGTCGCGAGCACCCCTCGACTACTCTTGTCTCGCACGAGTCGCCGTACGAGTCGCCAGTCGTCTCATCTCTCTCCAACTAGTAGCAGCCCAGATGGGTAGTTAACCAGGCAGCCGCTCCTTGTCCTGGCTCTAGAATGCTCGTCTGCCCGTCTGCCAAAGTCTTGATGTCGTTGTTTTGGCGTTGTTGGCGTTGCAGAAGAACCGAAAAAGGCAGAAAGTCGGTGCAAGTTCGGCACATGACCTCGCAGCCGCTGCTAGTCCCGGAAGGGCAATTGCTTGCAGCGAGATCGGAATCTCCACCACCACCACCACAAGCAACAAGCAACAAGCAACAAGCAACAAGCAGCAGCGGCAAAAGCATGAAGAGGCATGAAAAGCATGAAAAAAGGTGCCGGCATGAAGCAGCAGAGCAGAGAGGAGCGAGGACGGCCATGGAGGATTCATGCATGCAGGGAGTCACGGCGTTGCGGGCGGCAGATGCGACGACGGCCAAGGTCGTGAGTTCCCGCAGGCATATTTAACATATTCGACACTTGACAGTCCGGCGTCCGGCTCACCACATGCAGCGCAGGTTTGGTGAACTATACATCGACGGCCTCCTCCGAGTAGTCGTTACGCAAGCGTAGCTTTTAAATACTGGATTCCTGCTGAGCAGTCGCTGATATACGAGTGCTGGTTGGTGTCAAAGCGGCCGATGTCGAAGTCTGGGCTGACGACAAATGATAAGCTATGGGGTCCTTGGCCAGGGGGCTCTGCATCGGCCTCGCTAACTGGTTACGGAGTCCCTGAGGGACGGCAGCCTCAGGGTTGGTGAAAGTGCAATTTTAGACCCTGCCCTGTTGGTGGCAGGGCGGCTAGGATATTGCTTTTGAGGGAGCTCATTTCGCCTACGGAATGCCACTGGCTGGCTACCCGTTGGTCCGACCACTCCATTGCAGAGACAGCTGTCCACAGCTAACGACTTACTTAGCCTTCCAAGGCAGTGAGGTAGGTATAGGATGTAACTGCGGTTGGGTAGATGCTCCCGATCAAGAATGTATCCCGAGAGCAGTGACATCGGCTCGGTCATCTGCAGCTATATTATTATGGCTACTCGGTAGTTCTTATAGCTCCTTATATTGCTCTCTCTATGGAGTAAACTTGAAGCCCAAGCTGTGACTCGGTTGCAGGATGGTCTCTGTCAAAAGACGGAGCCATGGGCCTTAATATGGCCAGCTAAGATCCGACTACATACTTAGCTGCTTCCAAAGGAGCTGTTCTTCCTGGCGGGCCCTTTCCACTACAAAAACCTTCTCTGTGTATCAAAGATGGCCGCATCAAAGATAGTGGTTGATATTGAACAAACATGAGCTGTTCAAATCAAATATCAACCTTCATCAGGCCCAAAATTTGGTTCTCATCAAATCCTATTTTTAGCATCACAAAACTAACTAACCAAAAGAGGAAGAAGGCAGCAACATTCTCGCTGCAGCATAAAATGGGCGAGTCTCAGCGAGATGCTTGAGGAGCCGGACCTCCTGATATTGTATACTTACATTGTCAGACAAATAATTGGTTACTTGCCACGATGAAGATAGCAATAATCGGTGCCGGTATCAGTGGATGTGCGGTCTATCTCGCCTTGAAGAAGAGACTCCCAGCCGGAGAGGAGCATGAATACACCATCTATGAAGCATACGAAACCTCAGCATCATCTCCACAGAACTATGCTGATGGAGATGTACATTCCTCCAGCTTCGTCGTGGGTGCCGGGCTGGCAATCTGCCCAAACGGCTTGAGCTGCGTCAGACGGCTTGATGAAGATATATACCACACCATTACTAGGATGGGATACCCATACGCATACCAGCAAATGAAGAGTTCCCATGGATGGAATCTCATGAAGATGGAAGCCTCTGGCTCGAATCCAAAGATCAACTCTGTCTCGTTGAGTCGGCATGCCCTGTGGCGATCCTTTCGAGATCGTGTCCCGGATGATATCGTTGTCAACAAGCGAGTGGCATCAGTTGTTGCGAAGCCAGATGGACGAAATGTTATCAAGTTTGTTGATGGCAGTCCAGATGTAGAGGCAGACCTAGTCATTGGTGCTGATGGACTCAAAAGCGTCACTAAGTCAGCTTTGTTTCCGGAGGATAAGGAAGACCGATACCCACCACATTACGAGTGAGTCTCTTTTCGACTATATTACCAGATGAACAAAAGATGCAATCTGCTCAAGTACGAGTTTGCCCAACTAACAATGTGTCAGAGGAGTCGCTGGAGTAGGTGGGTTCTTCCCGGCTGACCAACTACACGACCAAATTGAGCCGGGGACCATGAATCTGGTCTTCGGCGGAAATGGGTTTTTCGGCTACTGCTACACCAACAGTGACAAGGACGAGCCAAATCGCCATATACCTCAAGGAGTACTCAAACCAGGCAGCACGGTAATGTGGTGGTCTACATACGAAGCTAAAGAATGTCCTGAGACCAAATCCATAGACAAAGCCACCATCATCCAAGACGTAAAGTTCCGACATGCCTCGTGGAAAAGCCCCGTGGTGCAGAAAATACTCGCCTCAGCAGATATACAGAACATGTATCCTGTCTGGACTGTGCCGGAACTGCCTACGTGGGAAAGTCATGGAGTTGTACTGATCGGTGATGCGGCACATGCTCTCCCACCTACTTCTGGACAAGGTGTGTCTCAGGCAATGGAAGATGTAGAGTGTTTCTCTATATTACTGGCTCATAGCTTGGGCAAGGAAGGCCAGGAATCGTCAGAGGGGAGTGCGCTTCAGACTCGAAAGGCGAGTATATCGTGGGCAGCGAAGAAGTTCATGGATATACGCATGCCTCGGATCAAGGCAATTCTTGATCAGGCAAGGAAATATCAAAATCAGAAGCGGAAACTTTCTGTCTTCCAGGAATGGTTTATGTATTTGATGATGTACCTTATGAGTAAGTCGGATCTTCCGGGTGTTAAGGGAACAGGCACTAAGGACCCGTTTATAGGTTTCTTTCCAGCTCCGCCTTGGGTCAAGGAAATATATTCGTACGATATTGAGAGTGAAACCCAAAAAGCCATTGAAAAGTCATAGCTATGAACTTGTCCAGGGGGAAAGATGGCCCACCCAACCCCAGCCTCGCAGCCCGAATCAGGTTTACATATCTGTATTATAGGACCTCCCTACTCCCTATTTGTATATAATAACCATCCATTAATCAATTAATTAAACCTGGAAATCTCATTGCTGTGTGGTATCTAGGCGGGCAAGCTAGTCAAAAACACAAACACCAACATAACAGAAGCATCAGACTCATAAACGTCAAAAAAGGGCCAAAAAAAAGTTAGCAAGCAGATTCGTGATTAGTACTGTAGTTCCGGGCTTCTAATCAATTGCCACCTCTTCCCATTCTTTCAATCGAGCTCATAATACCACTGCGGCCAGGGGTTTTCGCCATAGCAATGCCACTGGGAGCGGCTTTAGTGCCGGATGGAGCTCCAAAACGTGGGATTCGGGGAGTATGGCTTTGTGGAAGTTGACGGGGACGGGAAGAGGTAGAGCTCTTTAGTCCAATATTGCTGCTGCTGCTGCTGCTGCTCGCAGCTGGCGTTGGCTGGGAAATAGGCATCTTCTCGCTTCTTTCTTCCTCATTTAGTTCCTCACACGGTGGAGTAGATGGCTTCTCTGCTGGCTCTGGGGCTGGTTGGGAATCTTGTTGCATTTGAAGCCACTCATCCACCACTGCAACTAGTTCTCCTTTCTCTGCCCTTTCAGCCTTGAGTTCGGAGCGTAGGGCCTCGCTATCTTTCTTGAGTGATACCATCTCTTGTTCAAGCCCCTTGATCCGGGCCTCCAGTACCCGTTTCTCAGCCTCTAAGCCTTCGTTCTCTCGAAGCATTGTGGCATCCCCAGGTGCGGTCTCCTCATCAGCAAGTCTAGCTTTTGCTCCATTCAGCTCAGACTGAAGGTGCTTGATTTTCTCCAAGGCATCTTTGAGCTTGTTTTCACCTTCTTTTACTCTCTTTTCCCAACGAGCTTCATAACTCTTCTTCAAGGCAGCAACCTTTGTCTCATGTTTACCCTTGTATAAGGCGTGTAGTTCGCGGGCAACTCTTTCTACAGCATCTTGAACTTCTCTGGCAGTCTCATCTGAGCTCCTGGTGTCACAGTTGGTCGGCTGAGCGGAGCCTTGTGTACCAGTACCATTGTTGCTCCGTGCAGCCGAAAGCTGGCTTTCTAACTCGACAAGCTTTCCCTCCATCTGTTCTCTGGCCCTCTCGGCCTCCTCTGCTCTATGAGCAAGTTTTTCTCTTTCTCTCTCGCCGTCAGCCATTTCTGCCTTGACAGTTCGCAACACATCTTTCATCTCCTGACTCCTCCTTTCCCATTCAACCTGTTCTGATTCAAGGGCTTCCTTTTTAGCCGTTTCATTCCTAACCTGCTCCAATGCCTCTCCAACACGCCGTTCAGCGTCAGAGACAGAGTCTTTGAGGCTAGCAACTTCGGCATCTTTTCCATTGAGAGTAGCCTTTAGAGAGGATATCTGCGACAAGAAGGAAGACTTCAAGGATTCCAACTCTCTAGGAGTAATCGAAGGAATAGACCGAGGAGTTGCAGGTGGTGGTATATCAAAGTCAAGGAGAGAAAACTTGTTCGGAGACCTAAAATTCTCCCCCGGCTTTCTTGGCGAGTTTCGTCGAGCCCTATAGGGAGACTTCTGACCCTCAAGTGTACCGTTGGTGGGAATATCCATTTGGTCTGTAAAGTCTAGAAGGTTGGCGTCATCCTCAACGCGCATATACTTCCGTACAGGAGAACGCGGGAAACTGGATGATTCTGTTTCGCTAGATGACATTCCTGGTTCTCTTTTGTTCAACGCTCGTTTCGCTGATCTAGGAGTCACTTGTGACATTTGATCTCTAACATTTGGGGTAAACTTAAGTGGAGAGTCGTCTCTGAGCTTGGAAAAGAGAGTCATGTCGGCGTTAGGCACTGCTGAAAAGGTACTGAGACTTGTGTGATCTCCCACACTGTTATCACGGTGGGCACTGTCGCATAAAGAGCTATCTCCTTCGTTTTGATGGCGGACAATGCTCATGTGCTCATGGGTATTTTCTTCCACAACAGTGGCCAAAGACTGGCGCGAGGACTCTGGTTCAACGATTTGTTTGTCCTCGGGGGTTTCACCCGCCTCAACTGTGTCAGCTGGTTGATCCTGTGGTACGTTTTCTTGCTCGTTCATATCAAGGTCATGTTCGGTGTAATCTTCGTATGGGTTATGTGTGGGCTCAATATGGCAGCTCTCATCAGCGTCAAAGAGTGCAGCTGGACCCTCGTCCGGTCGATCTGTATACTCAATATTTATCGAGTCTTGAAAAGGAGAGCTAGGAGGATTTTGGAAGCCGGACTGGTCATGGTGGTGGTCCTCGTGAATATCAAAGACAGGGGAGTTCCTGGTTTGTTTTGATGGTGTGGTGTTTTCATCGTAGTACAAGTTATCTAGGTCCTCGGCGTCTCCCATGGGACTTTTCGATAGTGGTGAAGCAAGTGACTGAAGGTGTGATGGACGAGAATTGAGTCTCGAGGGTGATAGAGGTGACAGCGGACAGTCCATTGTCACTCACAATCGGTATATCCGTCGTTCGCTGTGACTTTCTTTTGGTGTTGTTACTTAAAATTCAGCATTGAGGGTATCCTGCATAGGATATCACAAAAGTCTATCAAGTGATGAAAAAAAGCGATGCGTCGCTGATGGCCCGAGTGAATGTAATATATCTCCCAGTTTTGTCTGCCTCTTGTGTCGCATGAAGAAAAGAAAAGCGAGCTTTTGCGATTGTTTTGATAGTTTGGCCCAGCAACCGAGTAAACAGAGGATGACATAATCATGACATAAGCTCTGAGTGGGGTTTATTGAAATTAGATACACAATCAATACGGCGCTAATACAAAAATTACACCACGGTGCAAAGCTTGGCGCTTGAATCTTAAGTAAGCGTGAAGCTTATATGCGCCGCGTCTTTTTGCCTCTTTCGGTACTTTGCGACTTCATCTTATCAACATGCAAGATCCATGCAGTATGCGTTGTTCACTCTCAATGCGACTCAGGATAGGCCAGACGGCCTGGATATCACGTCCTGCGGGATTGAGTGCAGCAGTTTGACGGCGGAAGATCTTCAGTTGCTTTCCGTCTCATACGAACACCTGGGGGGTTCTCGAGACGAGTACCTTGTACCAGACAGCGGGCCTTCTCCACCAGCTAAGACCGGCTTCACACAATTTCTTTGGTTCAGTTGCCGCTTGTCCATGGTCAGAAGCTGTACTACGTCACCGTGTAATTCGGCGGCTAAGGACCATGTTATCCATGGGTTCTGTGTACCAGTCAGACCGCCACTCGTGATCAGACTTTTTCTCATTTCTCCTGAACAGCGAACTTTCTTCCCACTTCCACGACTCTCAACTCCACCGCCTGCCCAGCAACGCATAACAAACACGACCAATCTGCACGCTTGCACAAGCCGTCTCAGTGATTTCTGGTCTCGAGTCCACCTGCTCTGGTTATTGAGAACCAGCCCAGGACAGACGAGCTCTCGACAACAAGCAACCGTTGGCAGACAGACGTGACTGAGCAGCCTGACAGACACCACTTTTTCCCTAAACCCCTCTTCGCATCAATCAATATAATTGGCCTTCGCTGGCAATACTTCCCCAAGTTTTACCTTGATATTGATTCTTCGAAGTCGGCAGAGCGTGCAGTGTCTCGTCTTCCATCTCAACTGACAACAGGTTCTGGTTGAAAAGAGGGAACGGGGGTTGCGTGGGAGGATAGCCGTAAGAACCAGACTAGAATATATAGAACCATGAGATTAACACGTCAGGCAAGACACCATAACTCTTCTCCTCCGACTTCGTCTCGCGCCGACGACGCTTTCCCGACCGTCCAGCTATTCATCCTAGGTGAGTTGACGCGAATGGATTGTCTCCTTAATGGCCTTGAACTGCACTAACAAGTTTATAGCGGTATGTCGCTTTGCAGAGCCGATCGCATTGACCTCCATCTTCCCATATTCATGGGTAATGGTTAAGGATTTCAATATTGGAGACAAGAGCAATGCGTCCTTTTACGCCGGAATCATCATTTCCGCCTTTGCCTTGTCGGAGAGCTTGACTGGAATGTTCTGGGGAAGCCTGTCGGACAAAGTTGGTCGCAAGCCTGTTCTTCTCCTAGGATGTGCTGGTACTGTTTTGTCTCTTATGATAGTCGGGTTTTCCCGGAATTTCTGGATGGCTCTCCTCGGCAGAGTTGTTGGCGGCCTCCTGAACGGTAATGTTGGGGTTATTCAAACAATGGTTGGTGAGGTTGTTAAGAATCCGGACCATGAGCGTAAGTTAGACATGCTGATACCATATATTTTTACCTACGTCCATATACTAACATATTCTAGCGCGAGCATATGCTGTTATGCCATTTGTCTGGTCTATTGGGACAATCATAGGCCCAGGTATATCCCTTTCCCAGAACACTCCTTTTTTTAACCTTACAGTAACTGCTAACTCTTACTAGCGATTGGAGGCACGTTTGCGCAGCCATACAAATCCTTCCCTTCGCTCTTCTCCCCATCAGGCTTATTTGGTACCTTCCCTTACCTTCTCCCCAACATAATATGTTCGCTGCTACTCTTTATCAGTATCTTTGCTGGATACTTTTTCCTCAATGAAACACATCCCGACCACCAACCCCAGCATACCCGTACTGAAGGTGCAGAACAGCATACCGATGAGGATGATAATGACACTATCGGTGCTCCTCTTTATGCTGTTGCCACAGCAGGATCTACAGCTCATGCTGGTGCAGACTTGACCGCCAAGTCATATGGCACTTTCAACGAGGTTGACATGCACGAGGATGAGGAATGGTATGTCAGGCCAGATGGGAAGTCCCTTCCAGCCCCGGATTCGGGTAAAGTCTTCACAAAGCGTGTGACTATGCTCATAATCGCCTTGGGTATCTTCACCTATCACTCCATGACCTATGACCATCTTCTCCCGATTTTCCTTCAGGATCAGCGAGACGGACTCATCAATCACCGCCCAAC